ATTTCATTCATTTCATTCTTGTCATTATTTTTTCATTCATTTCATTCATTTCATTCATTTCATTCATTTCATTCATTCATTCAATCATTCATTCATTCTTTCATTCGTTCACTGATTCATTGATTCATTCCTTCCTTCCTTCCTTTCTTTCATTCATTTCATTCATTTCATTCATTCATTCATTCATTCATTCGTTCATTCATCCATTTTTTCCTTTCATTCATTTCATTTCATTTCATTTCATTCATTTTTCATTCATTCATTCATTTCATTTCATTTCATTCACTTCATTCATTTCATTCATTCCATTCATTTCATTCATTTCTATCATTTCATCCATTTCATCCATTTCATTCATTCATTTCATTCATTCCATTCATTCCATTCATTCATTTATTCATTCGTTCATTCGTTCATTCGTTCATTCGTTTATTCGTTCATTCGTTCATTCGTTCATTCATTCATTCATTCATTCGTTCATTCATTTCATTCATTCAGTCATTCAGTCATTCAGTCATTCATTCATTATTTCCTTTCATTCATTTCATTTCATTTCATTTCATTTCATTCATTTCATTCATTGCTTTCACTTCATTCATTTAATTCATTTCATTCATTCATTCAATCATTCATTCATTCTTTCATTCGTTAACTGATTCCGTGATTCATGCCTTCCTTCCTTCATTTCATTCATTCATTCATTCATTCATTCAATCATTCATTCATTCATTCATTCATTCATTTATTTCATTGCATTTCATTTCATTGCATTTCATTTCATTTATTTCATTTCATTCATTTCATTTCATTCATTTCGTTCTTTTCATTCATTTCATTCATTTTTTCATTTCATTCATTTCATTCATTTCAGTCATTTCAGTCATTTCAGTCATTTCATTCATTTCATTGCATTCCATTTCATTTCATTTCATTTCGTTTTATTTCATTTCATTTCATTCATTCCATTCATTCCATTCTTTCCATTCATTCCATTCATTCCTCCTTTTTTCATTCATTCATTTATTCATTCATTCATTTATTCATTCATTCATTCACTCATTCATTCATTCATTCATTCAATCAATCATTCATTCATTCGTTCATTCATTCGTTCATTCATTCTTTCATTCATTTCATTTCATTTCTTTCATTTCATTTCATTTTCATTTTGTCTCATTTCATTTCATTTCATTTCACTTCATTCATTTCATTCATTTCATTCATGTCATTCATTTCGTCATTTCATTCATTTCATTCATTTCACTCATTCAATTCATGCATTCATTCATTCTTTCATTCATTCATTTCTTTCATTTCATTCATTCCTTCCTTCCTTTCTTTCATTCATTTCATTCATTTCATTCATTCATTCATTCATTCATTCATTCATTCATTTCATTCATTTCATTCATTTCATTCATTCATGGATTCATGATTGATTCATTCATTCATTGCATTCTTTGCATTCATTTCATTCATTTCATTCATTTCATTTCATTTCATTTCGTTTTATTTCGCTTCATTTCATTTCATTTCATTCATTTCATTCATTCCATTTATTTCATTTTTTTCATTTCATGCATTTCATTCATTTCATGTCATTTCATTTCATTCATTTCATGTCATTCAATTCCTTCATTCATTCATTCCTTTCATTTATTTCATTTATTTCATTCATTCATTCATTCGTTCGTTCATTCATTCATTCATTTCATTGCATTTCATTTCATTGCATTTCATTTCATTCATTTCACTTCACTCATTTCATTCATTTCATCCATTTCATTTATTTTTTCATTTCATTCATTTCATTCATTTCATTCATTCCATTCATTTCAGTCATTTCAGTCATTTCATTCATTTCATTCATTTCATTCATTTCATTCATTTCATTCATTTCATTCATTTTATTCATTTCATTCATTTCATTCATTGCATTCATTGCATTCATTTCATTCATGTCATTCATTTCATTCATTTCATGCATTTCACTCATTTCATTCATGCATTCATTTATCCATTCATTCATTCATTCATTCATTCATCCATTCATTCATTCATTCATTCATTCATTTCATTCATGTCATTCTTGTCATTCATTTCATTCATTTCATTCATTTCATGCATTTCACTCATTTCATTCATGGATTCATTCAGTCATTCATTCATTCATTCATTCATTCATTCATTCATTCATTCATTCATTCATTCATTCATTGCATTCATTGCATTCATTGCATTCATTTCATTCATTTCATTCATTTCATTCATTTCATTCATTTCATTCATTTCATTCATTTCATTTCATTTAATATCATTTCGTTGCTTTCATTTCATTCATTCATTTCATTCCTTCATTCCTTCCTTCATTCATTCATTCGTTCATTCATTCATTTCATTCATTTCATTCATTTCATTCCTTTCATTCCTTTCATTCATTTCATTTCATTCGTTTCATTTCATTCTTTTCATTCATTCATTCATTCATTCATTGCATTCATTGCATTCATTGCATTCATTTCATTCATTTCATTCATTTCATTCATTTCATTCATTTCATTCTTGTCATTATTTTTTCATTCATTTCATTCATTTCATTCATTTCATTCATTTCATTCATTCATTCAATCATTCATTCATTCTTTCATTCGTTCACTGATTCATTGATTCATTCCTTCCTTCCTTTCTTTCATTCATTTCATTCATTTCATTCATTCATTCATTCATTCATTCATTCATGCATTCATTCATTCATTCGTTCATTCATTCGTTCATTCATTCATTCATTCATTCATTCAGTCATTCATTCATTCATCCACCCATCCATTCAGTCACTCATTCATTTGTTCGTTCATTCATTCATTCATCCATCTGTCCATCAGTCCATCCATCTATCCATCCATCCGTCTATCCACTTCCGCCCCGGCACGGCCGGGCACCACTGGTGCTATCTAGGAGCGCTGTCAAGGTGAAAGAGCAGATATGTGTGAAGGATTGTGCGTGTAAAATTTGATTTCCAAAAAACGTAGCAAGATAGAAAGCTGGGGAAAGAAAAGATGAAAGAGAAGATGCAAGAGAGAGAGAGAGAGAGCAGCTAAGAATACAATAAGATATAGAATAGCAAGAAGAAGAACAATAAGAAGTGGAACAATAAAGAAAACAAGGGGCAGAGCAGGCAACATTTCCCAGACATGATATCAGTATCATGCGACCAGGTGCAAGGTTCATGTGTTCCACAAGGGGCTTGCACACGCTTTCCATTGTTTGGTACAACAGAGACGGGGCCAGAAACAACAGTCTTGGTGTTCCAGACGCAGGAGGTGACGAGTGCATGAGCGCGGTGCCAGCACTTCAAAAAAGCTGTTGCACCTGGAAAGTGTACAGTTTAAACCAGCTGCTTTGCAACAGCGCTTGCGATATAGGGGTGGTTTGCAACGTTGTTTTTCTCTGATGGATTTTGGGATGCAACAAGGGAGCGCCGTGTTCAACGTTTGACTCAATAGGCCTTGTGCTAACAGTAGTTCCAACGAGAGCATAAGCAAACCAGAAAGAACCCGACAGGCACTTGAAATTTCCAGCGCGGGAGAGAGACAGACAGAGAGACGGAGAGACAGAGAGACACAGAGAGAGAGAGAGAGTCAGAGAGAGAGAGGGTTAAAAACCAGTGGACTTGGTTCGGCGCAGACTAAGCCTGAGTGGGGTGAGCCTCATGGGAACTAGACTTGGCCCTGACTTGGAAGATTTGTGCTTGTTGACTTGTTGGGCTTCGCTCCACTCCAGCAGTAATTTCATTTGAATTCAGGTGTGGTCGTATATCTTTCTGTTCTATACCCTGGTGGCAGTATTTGCAATCGCACCTGGCCTCAAAATACTTGCCGTTTTTGGGGTCGGCTGTAGCTTCGGCGTCGCAGCATCCCACAAGCAGAAAATGATTTCTGTGCTTGCAAGTTTGTTTTTCCTTTCGCTTGAATTCCTTTTCGCTCGCTTGAGCATCGCGCATTTGCCGTTCATTTGTAGTTTCAGCTGCTGGTGCCAGACTTCTACCAGCCGACGCCAAACTTCTACAGGTAAACATCGTGGCTGCAGTCTTCGTGGATAGCGCCATGCAGTTTTCGAAGGCCTGAGTGCTGGAACAAGCAGATTTGTGCGAAATACGCCAATGCATTGAAGACTCGCGCGTTCAGTTACACACTGGGTCGTTTGAAAAAATGAAATGAGACATGCTAATGCTGCTAATATACATCTATATACACGCTATGTACGTCAATGTCCGCGTGCCGGGTTTTTGGCCTGGGCCCGGCTGCCATTGTGACAGTCTTCATGCACGTCTTCACCCTGTTGCCTGGTTTTTTCCTCTTCGTTGGAGGATCATGGCTCCTGGCTTCTGCTCTCTGCAGACTGGTTGGAATTGTTTTGATTGTTTAAGCTGGTGCCGTGACACAGGAGTTCCCATTACAATGGCTTAACTATAGGTTCTCTCATGAATCTGTGCACCTCCACGAATCAAAGCTTTCAAGAGTCCAAGAGACCGACAAAATAGAAAGCAAAAGGGAAGGAAGAGTCGTTGTGACCAAAAATGATGTGGGAAGGAGATGAAAGCTGCCAACAAGAGTCACAATGACCAACAAGAGTCCTTGGGGCCAAGCTGTCTTGAGACATCAGAGTTTTAAAGGCCTGGATTTGTCGTCGTTGTGTCGCTGCTTGGTTCTGGCTTCACCATCCAATTTGTCTTGGGTCCTGTTTGTTTAAACGCGGAAAAATTGGGGTTTCCTTTTGGCTCATTACAACCCGGCCTTTGGGCCCCACGGTCGGCGGTGGGCTTGGTGCGGTAGATGACAACACGGCTTCGCAGCTGCCGCAGCTGGCGCTCGCTGCTGCTGCTGCTGCTGCTGCGCATTTCTCAGGTGGCTTCTGTGGGAGCGCACAGTGCTCAGCTGAGCTGTTTCTTCTTGACCTTCTTAGGGCGGCGCCATGTGTATGTCATGTTTTTTTGCGGCCACATGCTGGCGGCGGCTGCGGCAGCTTCTGCGGCGTTTGCTCGTTCCAGAATCGCTCAAGAACGTCGTGCTGCCAGTCCTTAGATGCCTGTTCCGTGTCCGTGGTCACCTTGCAGACCCAGACTTACAGACTGGGATTGATCAAATCACTGCACTTTAGCGCGAAGCAGAGCCAAGAAACCAAATACCATAAGCTCGAAGGGGCCCCGATTCCGACTGATTTTTGGCAATTTTACATGAATACGGGTGCCGAGTTGATATGCCGTGGGTGTTTCCGTGCCCCACGCTGACCTGCACTTTCTCGTTCAACCCTGCTTCTGGTCCCTTTACCGATAACGAGACAGAAATCTTTTGAACTTCTCCTCATAGAAGTTGGGGTTGCATTTTATTTGCTGCCCCCAATGCATCTACTTTTGGGAAAAAAGAGACCCGACAGAAAGCCAAGCCGTCGTGCCTTTTTTGCGGTCATACATGGAAGTCTTGACCATGTGATATGAACATGTCCTGCCCACACCAGCTGCGAATGGGATATCGGCTAGCATGGCCAATGGGAGATGATGATGGAACAGATCTTGAAATTCTTAGCTTGTTATTCCACAAGACCTGCCTGGAATGGGCCACAAACTCCCAAATGTGGGTCTCTGCATGTTCGTGCCATATTAGATGTTCTTCTATACAGTAGCTTACACTATGGTGGGCACCTCCTTTTGGAGATCGTGATCGTCGCGAACTACAACAACAAGCCAAACATCGCATACGCTTCCTGAACCTGAACTACCCCCAGCACTTGTGCTTCTTCTTCTACATGTGGTGCTTGCGCGTGGTCCAAGCGGGCAGCGGTGGCAGTGCTGGAAGCAAAAATGCGCAGGCAAAAATGGGAAAAGACACTTCAGCTTAGGAAGAAAGCGCGAATTTGTTGTATCGATTCATCACTTTGATGTGCAAGTTTTGCCTTGGTGTCTCTTTTGCACGTTTGCCATTGAGAGTCTTGTCACGATCGTTTGCGCGCAAAAAAGATGAAATTGTTCCACCAAGCAGAAATCTTGAAGATATTGAAAGTGAACTGAAGAAATGCAGGGACATGAAAGGATATCGCCGTCCAGTCAAATTATTTGTTGCGAGGCTGCTTGCCTGGAAACTCAGCAGCAACTTCTCGAGAACGTCAAGAACAGAAGTTGTTGGACGGTTTGCATGAATTCATTCAAAGTTGCAGGAATGACCATATCCTCTTGGCCTGGCATGCCAAGCTAAAACTTTGCCCTTTTAGAATCTCTTTGGGGACGTGAGCTCAGATCCACTTGGTCAGACAGGCATACTGGCGCTCACCGTGTTTCCAGTAGTCTCTTGCAAGGTAACCCTGGAGCATGATAGCATTGAATGCCCGTTTGCTTCGACCCCTTGTAGATACCAAGCCTATAAGTTTCCCATTGCTCAAAATGTGTTTTTTGGCGACAGCACGTTGACTTGTGAATACTTGCCCGCGCCACTGCAAGCCATCGACTGCTGTGATGCCTGGTCCCATAAATTTGGCGTCATTGAAAACAAACAGAAAATCAGCTTTTCCATATTTCAACCAGAGGGCACTGTGGTATTTGCCAAAATTATACCAGGCTGTCGCAACAGTGTCCCTAGTTGTCCTTGGTACGGCCTTCTCTGGGCGTAAATTTCGCAAAATAACAAACTTCGAAGTAAGTCGTGGCAAGAAGGCAGAACAAATTTCCATGGTATGTAAAGAGTTGCCAGCTTCCCATGAGCATAGTTAAAGGACCGGAAAACCCCACAAGCCAACTTCTCCCAATAATTACAAACGTGGTTGAAGCGATACGGAGAAGGCAGGAAGGACAAAGGAGATGGTGGAGGGTCGATTGGGTGGGAGAAGCGTGTGTGAAAGATGTGGTGTGGGCAAGAGTTGCGTGTGAAAGGGTGGTGTGGCGCGTCAAAGAAGTTGTGGCGTGTGAAAGATATGTATTTGGAAGATTTGGTCGGGGAAGAGGTGCATGTGCAAGAGTTGTCAGTGAAAGAGTTGTCGATGACAGAGCTGTGTGTGAATGGGTTGTATATGAAGACTTGCGTGAGGAGAGATTTGTGCGCAAGAGCGGTGCGTGAAACAGATGTGCGTGGAAGAGATGCATGTAGAAAGAATCCTGGCGAATCACATGCCCCAGCCAAGTGTTGCCAAGTGTGAAGTGGCGCATGACAAAGTTACGTGTGAAAGAGTTGTGTGTTGAAGTTTGTGAAAGAGCTCAGCACCAATCCAGTGCGGTAAGTGCCACGCCTAAAAGGGAGGTCGATGTCACCAAGTACCACTTTGCCACGCCTGCCACGCAAAAGGGAGGTCGATGTCAGCAAGCGCCCGCCTGCCAAACAAAAGCGACGTCGACGTCGCCAAGTGCCCGTTGCCTGCAGGAACCAAGCCTGCCACCGGAACCAGCCCAGTGCCACCAAGTGCCACACCTACCAGACAAGGCTGCGAGAACCAACCGCGCCACCAAGTGCCACGCCTGCCCCGCGACAGCGATGTCGATGTCACCGAGTGCCACGCATGCCACACAAAGCGTTGGTGCCACCAAGGTCGATGTCAGCAAGTGCCACGCGAAGTTGTTGGGGAAAGAGTTGCGTGTGAGTTGGTTTGTGAAAGATTGTGTGTGACAAAGTTGCGTGTGAAAGAAGAGGTGTGTGACAAAGTTGTCTGTGAGAGAGTTGTGTGTGAACGAGTTGTGTGTGAGAGAGTTGTGTGTGAGAGAATTGTGTGTGGCAAAGTTGCGTGTGAAAGACTTGTGTGTGACAGAGTTATTTGTGAAAGAGTTGCGCGACGAGGCGAGGAGGAGACGAAGGCGGAGGAGCGGACGGGAACGCACAGCAGAAAAACAAGAACCCCACGCAATGATGTGGAGAATCGACGTTTTGCTGCAGAATTGAGGCCTTGAGGCAACCGAAAGCCAACGCCCGCAAAGGTCTTTCCAAAATTTGCGCCGTTGCTTGGGTTGGTGTCCGCAGGAGTGGTGATATGCTGGATGCACTTGGCCGTAGTATTCTACCCCATGTCTAGTTGATGTGCTTTGCGCACCTTTGCCCTGATATTTGCTTGAGCTGGTGTTGTTGCCGTCCACGCTGGCGGTGCGATGTGTGGAGAGCCGCCCTGAGAGTGTGACGATGCCACGCCGAGTGATAATTAATCGAAGTCAGACTGTAGAGAGGGGCTTGGAATATACATCGCAGGCTCGCAGCATTGCAGTGTGTTCTCCAGCGCTCTGCCATCATGCGCTTATTGACGGTGTTGGTGCAGGTGCTGGTGTAGTGAAGTGGGTGTGAGGTGTTTGTTGACGGATGCCAGACATGCTTGAACTGGTGGTATGGTGTTAGTCGTGCTGTGGCGGTTTTGTTGATAAGCTGCGCATGTTTGAAATACATTTTCTCCTACATCTGGTGTTGCGTGGTGCGTGTGGGCCTGCTGCCGCCATGATTGGTGGCAGCCCAAAGCCGATCTGCACTGCGCGGGCCATTGTGCCCTGTAACGCTGGGCTGGAAGTTTTTTTGTTTTGTCTAGTCTTGTGATGAAATTTTGTCAGCTACACCATTCCCAAGACCATGTGTGTTGCTAAGGTCCCAATTTCAAATCACAGTGGTATGCTTGGAGGTTACGCAATCTGCTTCAATCTGTGGAAGGGTTGAGTTACGGAATCACGTGAACAGAACAGGTCAATGCTCTGGTGTAGGTGTAATGATCTTTTTCTCTGCGTGAGCTGCTACCTGAGCCACCACATGTTAACAACGGACGTGACAAAACATGTGAGATCTGAACGATTCTGTTTGCAGGCAGCTTCCCCCACACTCTGACAGAAATCCGGGTGCGCGAAAGTCACGCTAGGAGCAACCCGACAGGATGGTGAAACGAGATGAAATTTTGCAACGAGACATGCTACTTCCGTTTCCGCATGCCAGGCTGTTGGCTTTGCCCGGCTGCCATTTTCAGCTAGACCACAAGATAAAGCAGTTTTCAGCGCTATGGTTAACGCACTACAAACTTGTTGTTTGTCATCTGGACGGCTTCTACCTCAAAGATCTGCTTGCAAATCCAGGAGTACTTTTTGGAACGATTCAAGCAGTTTGCAGAGAGCTGAAGGCCAGGAAGCCATGACTGCCTGCCCTGGGCAGCAAACAGAAAACCAGACAATATGGGGGTGAAAGCGTGCCTGAAGACTACGATTCACGAAAACCCGCGCAGGCAACCATTGTGCTACACATTGTTTTTTGACACCTTGAAATATCTTTTTCGTTTGAAAATTGAGGCCGACCATCAGCTCATGGTCCACCAGGACTCCTGACATTTTTGTGTCATTGTCTATTGAGAATCAAGGGATCCATCGCATTTTTACCAGAAATCTTGCATAATCGGGCGGAATACGCACGACGTGAATGTCCTTAGCATCAGAATAGTAGCCGTTTTTAACAGCGTCTGTCTTTTACAGTTGAAATCAGCCCAGCAGAGGAAGTGAGCAATCGGAGAGACTTTCTATCCTCCCTTGGCGAACTGTTCCAGGCCCTGCTGGTCTTGCATACTCTTGAAGCAGCATTCAGTGATGTCTAGATTGGGCGCTTGAGCAGTTCTCTTAATTTCTTGTTGCCATGACAGGCAATTGATATAGATGACAACGGCTTCATCACCCGGGACGAATTTGATGAGTGTCTGAAGCAGGAAAAGTTCATGGTGACTTGTTACACATAGAAAGGTGTTTCGCACGCATCTTGAGAAGTTCATTGCACCGCTGCCAGACATGCTGAGGCGTTCTTCCGGGCCATCAAGTTGGACTATCGCGATGCACAGCTTCTGTTTGACCTCTTGGATTCAGACCAGAGTGGAAAGGCCAGCCAGTGACTGAGTGCGGTCTGTTTGCTCCACGCAAAAATCTAGGTCTCTTTTGCGTCAGCAAGTGTTCGTAAATACTGAGAAAAGTCAAGGCCAAACAAGGAAGTACATGTTGTTCTTTGAGTTTTTGAGACTTCTTGGAGCCGTGAACCGTATGCATAGGTTCAATTTGTTGGAGCCTGGTTCAAGTTTGTTCCCAGGCATTTTGGCTTTGTCGTTGTCCTGAAACAGCCGCCGTTGGTGGTGCTTTCTCCCAGTCGTCTTCTTTCTTCTTTCTTCTTTCTTCTTCCTCCTCCTCCTTCTTTTTCGCATCTAGTCGAAGTTTGGCCTTCAGTTTGCCAATCCCACCTGCCGATTCAATGCTGAAAACCATAGATGATGGGGCAGCCAACGACTTCAGTCGGATTTGCAGCAAAACAAACAGCCCAAGGTTGTCGACTCCTATAGTTCCAGATCGCAGCCGTCTCCAACTAAAGACAGCGAACGGCAACAGTGCTGCCGATGTTTTCTTCTTCTTGTTGTTCTTGTTGTTCTTGGTGTTCTTGTTGTTCTTGTTGTTCTTGTTGTTCTTGTCGTCCTTGTCGTTCTTGTTGTTCTTGCTGTTCTTGTTGTTCTTGTCGTTCTTGTTGTTCTTGTTGTTCTCCTTGTTGTGTTTGTTGTTGTTCTTGTTCTTCTTGTTGTTCTTCTTGTTGTTCTTCTTGTTGTTGTTGCTGTTCTTCTTCTTCTTCTCCTCCTTCTTCTTCTTCTTCTTCTTCTCTCTCTCTCTCTCTTCCTTCCTTCCTTCCTTCCTTCCTTCCTTCCTTGTTTGCTTTCTTTATGTTTTTTCTTTCTTGCTTTTTCTTTCTTTATTTTTCTTTCTTTCTTTCTTTCTTTCTTATTCCGCTTCCTCTTCTTCCTTTTCTTCTGGTGCTTGTTCTTTTTCGTCTTGTTCTTGTTCTTCTTCTTGTTACTCTTCTTCCTTTCTTGTTTTTCTCCTTTTTCTTCTTCGGCTTCTTCTTCTTCTTCTTGTTCTTCTTCTTTTTCTCCTTCTTGTTCTTCGTCTTACTCTTCTTGTTCTTCTTGTTCTTCTTCTTTTTCTTCTTATTCTTCTTCTTTGTTTTCTTCTTTTTGGTTTCCTTCTTCTTCTTCTTTTGATTATTCTCGTTTTTTCTTCTTGTTCTTCTTTTTGTTTTGTGCTTCAATTTCTTATCCTTCTGTCTTTGCATCCTCGTCTTCACAACTTCTCTGTGCATTGTTTTAAGTGGCGTGGTTCTCGCTGTCTACTTCTCGTCGTCATCGTTTCAGGTCACGGTGGACGAATTTATCGATGGCTGCGCAAAACTGCAGGGTGAAGCAACTGCTTTGGAAACAAAAGTGCTTCACCTGGAGGCCGTGATCTTTTTTTCTCCCAACGATACTCTTTTTGATGCCCTTTTTGACGTCTGCGAATTGATTTCGCCATCAAAAAAAATACATCATGAACAATTGTCTAGTGATGGTAGTTGAATGCACGACTTATGTATAAAACCTTGCCACCCATCTTTCCGATATTCCGCTCCATCCACAAACACGTTGATTTCTGATCAACCATTTGTTGGCACTATGTCCCAGATGAATTGCATGTTTTTATCCAAACCCTGGAAGGTACAAATGGTCAGGCGCCAACTGGAAAAACTTGTCGCAATAAGTGGTGGAACAGGCAGTTTTTTCTGCACATCCAGTTTAGCGGTTCCCACCATCAAAAATTCCCCGAGTGGCGGGAATTCTCCATGAGAATGATGGGGAATTTTGGTTGCGAAGGCAAGCACGCCAGGAGACCAATCAGATGATTATATACATGAAAATATGATTTTTGAGTTTGAATAACGGTCTTTGCATTGGTGACCGTTTTGGTGCTTGCAGCTGAATTGGGGAGGTCCTGGAATCAAAGTCTCTGGAACTCTCTTCGAAGAAGACAGTTGCAGGGAATGAGTGCTGTAATTAGCTGGACCCTAGGTTCATTTTTGGGACCAGCACGTGTCTTGTTTTTTCTTGTCCAATCCTATTGATTTGGTAAGAAAAACTAACTCACCATGAAGATCGGGTAGAGCAGCACCGTTTTGACGGATTCTTCGCGTCATGATTCCAAATGGTGAACAGAGGTTTCGCAGACTAATATTTGTTGTGGGAGGAACACGCGCTTAATATGTATAATATGTCCACGCATGTTTTACGATGCTGGTTGCTGCTAGCTTCTTGGGGATCAAGGGTAGTGTTGCATGAGCACCGCTCTCGCCACGGTCTCCACTGGGACTTCTTTGGCGCTGTTCTGGCGTTTGCTTGAGGGCGCCCATCCACCAGCGCTCTTTTGCCCTGCACGTGGCTTCCTTGAACTTCACTGGCCTTCACTACTTCTTGGACTCCTTTGCGGCATTCTCTTGGGGCCTTTGCTCGAGGCTTTGGTGGCTGTGCGGCTCTATTTGTACCAGCGGGTGGTTCATCAGCTGGTATCTTCATCTGGGGCAGCTCAGCCTCGACCTCTTCACAGGCTTCTGTGAATGGACCAGAGGATCCTCGACCTCGAGCGGACGGTCGAGGAGCTATATCAGAGGAAGTCCGCTATCTTCGAGGAGAAGTTGCTCGGCTCCGCCGACTTGTTCCTGGAGGTGCCAGTGGCAACACTCCCTTGGGTTCGCCTATTGGTGGTCGAGATTTTGGTGGTGAAGCGGCGGTTGACGCTTCGCAGTCTGACGGCAGCTTCTCGGTGGTTTCTCGGGCAGATCGAGAGATCCTTCAACGAGGCTGCCTCTCGCTCCAGGTCCAGGAACGTTTCCCCGGCTGTGAGCGTTGGCTCAATATGGGTCTTCAGCTTCGAGGTGCACTTTGTCTTGGGAGGAGCGTGAGGCTATCTGTGACGAGATTGGAGCCTTTGTTCTTCGAGGACTTCGAGGCGAATACCATGGATCTTCTGGCCGAGATCAAATTTCTCTGCCGAGCAGGCTGTGGCTGGTTTTCAGGGATCACTTTGGAGACCGATTGACCAAGGTCGGTCATCAGTTGGGTGACAGCCTTTTTGTGGGGCTTCCGAGTGAGCGAGAGGCGCGTTTGGTTTGCTCCAGAGCGGGTGTGCCCTGGCCTATATACATCAGGCTGAAGATGGATGAGATGGATGGTGCCCTAGCCTAGGACTGTGGTGGATTCAGACGGATCCCTTGGAAGTGAATTCGATTTATGCCTTTACACTACCTTGGATGGTGTGAAAATTCAATGCATCGTAGTTGCCCAGGTGGACAGTCGATATCTGGCAGCTTTTCCTTTCCCTGTTTGGCACCGCACTGTGAACAAGCGGATTCTGGACAGAAGCCTTTCGAGCCGACCTGCTCTAGTGGAGGTCGGGTATTGTTCCCTCGAAGATGGTTCAGCCGCGGTGGACGACGGCTATATGAAGATATGGATGGGCTATGTGACGGAGGAGTTCTACCTGATGCTGGAGATCGCAGAGGAGGACGAGGTCTACGACCACCGGTTCAATGTGGAGAGCTATGGCGATGCGCTCCCCTTTGGCCCGTCGTTTCTGGAGGCCTTGCAGGGGCATTTTGCTTTCCTCAGCGCGGAAAGTACAGGAGGCGGCAGAGTGCAGCAAACCCCTGCAGAAGGATCTGGTTCTGCGGGCCTGGGCGCTCGAGTTGCACCTTGACCTCTATGTCCGAGAGCTTGGACAAGTTGACGGAGCACCTTGGGCAGAAGAAGTCCGTGCAGCGGCGAAGTATCCTGGTCTCGATCCTTCAGTGGTCTTGGCCGCAATCAAAACAGGAGTCTCGGAGGAGAACCTGATGGAGATGCAACGGATGCTTTCAAAAGATCCTACCAGTGGCAAGAAGCTGAGAGAGCCAGCTCTTCGCAAGACTGCGAAGCCAGCTGCCAAGCCCCGGCCTTCCTCAGTGGCAGTTGCTTTGTCCGAGAGCGAGGACGAGTCGGAGGGCGATTCTCCAGGCTATGCGTCGGAAGGCAACTCCTCACCCGCGGCTGTTACTGGCACCCTGGACAAGCTGACCGAGATCCTCTCTATTCTTTCTCAAGACAAGTTGAAGAAAGCCAAAGCCTCGAAAATCGACTTGGCACTGGACTCAGTTGGTGGTGCGTCAAGTACAGACGCTGGAGCTGGCTCGACTCTGAAGAGGGCCTCCGCTGTGTTCGCCGAGCGCTTCGGATTGCTTTGCAGGATACCCCGGAGGAGATCAGGGCTGTGATCGAGAAGTGCTGGAAGATCTCATGATGCAAACAACAGCTCCGGGTATGCCGAAAGCCAGGTTGAATGCACGGGCTTGGCTCGAGCACAGGTCACGCATCGGGGCCTACAAGACGTCCACCTTTTGCTCTTGGGCGGCAGCAGGCATACTGGACGATTTGGCTCAGGGACGAGCAGCTCATGCAAGGGCGAGAGCCGGGCTTCTTGTCTTGATGCTCGACCAGTGCGCAATAGACAAAGGGTCTTGGGCCCTGGCCGCAGAGCTGTCTCTGGAACAAGCTCCGCCTCTCGCCACTTTGGCCAATCACAGCCTGCCCAGCATAGCAGATGGGGAGAGTCCGTTTTCTCGCCTCCTGGATCCACGGTGGGCAGAAGTCATGCTGGCTCACTTGAAGGATGCGGAGGACTATGTGCAGAAGCGGAAGAACCTTGGCAGAAAGAACCTCGACGACACCGCGGCCGACTCCCCAAAGCCAAAGCAGAAAAGCAAGGCCAAGGCGAAGACCTCGGCCGAAGCCCCCACAAGCGGATGATGCATGGTGCTGGCTCAGTGGTGGACGAGGGCGATTTTGATGACTTCGCAAAGACTATTGTCATCCCTGGCTCTCGTGCTCCCACTGTTTTTGTGCCGGCCCTGGTGAATTCGTTACTGCGCTTGGTGTTGAAGTATGGCTCCAAGCTCAGGTCCTTTTTGCATTCGTACCTCAGCAACCAGCCTTGCCCTGGTGATCAGGGCACTCGCGATGGTTCTCCGTGGCCCATGCCTATTCCCTATCCCGAAGTGTTTAGAGCTGGCGGTGGTGGAGCTTCAGTTTGGAAGAAACGAAGGGTCTCCTTTGAAATCTTGATCCTGAATTGTTTCACTTTGGGAAAGCCTTCAACTTGCCCTTCCACCTTATGGCTTGGGCGGCGACTTTCTGCAGCACAGTGGCGAGCAGTACGCTCGCTTGAGAACTGTAGCGAAGACTTGAATTCGGTTTCCCAATAGATCAGGTTAGGCAATTTCCTGCCGAAAAGGTAATTCCTTATCTTAGACAAAAACTACCTATTTGTTTATTTTTCCCTTACCTAAATTAGTTAATTTTTCTTGCCTTAACTAATTTTTTACCTAACTCTCAACGAAAGTTTGCACGCAAACTTTCAACCCCGCCTCGCAAGTTTGCATGCAAACTTTCAACCTCCCCTCGCAAGTTTGCAGGCAAACTTTCAACCCCCCTCGCAAGTTTGAGTGTAAACTTGCACCACCAATTGCCTGCAATTGCTTGCGTGCGTGTCCAAGGGCGCAAATTTGCTTGCAAACTTTCAACCCCGCCTCGCAAGTTTTCGCGCAAACTTTCAACCCCGCCTCGCAAGTTTGCGCGCAAACTTTCAACCTCCCCTCGCAAGTTTGCATCCAAACTTTCAACCTTGTCTCGCAAGTTTGCATGCAAACTTTCAGCCCCTCCTCGCAAGTTTGCACGCAAACTTTCAACCCCACGTGCCGAATTACCTTAAAATTAGGTTGCCTTTCCTTAAAAATTATAATACCTAATTAGGTAGGAAATAAGGAATTAACTGTTAGGCAGGAAATTGCCTAACCTGATCTTTTGGGTTTGGAGGTGGATGCAGGTGCGATGGCCCGAGCTGCTGTAAAGACGGAGAGCGCTGGTGACCAACTTGATGCGCTTCATCGAGCCTTCGCACAGGTGTCTGCTCCTGGGCATGACTTTGGTTGTGGCTACTTTGGCTCCCTTGGCACCTCTACCAAGTTTGACTTTGACCACGGTTTGGGGTCCGACTTCGGAACTTTTGAGGGCACCAGCTCCCTGGAGGCTTTTGTCGTGGCAAAACCAATTGTAGCCAGTGTGCCCTTTGGACCTGCCCCGGCATTCGACCCGGTGCCTTACTTTGATGAGGCTACTGAAGAGGCTTGCTGCAGACCTTTGGAGCACCGCCTGGCTATGCCACGTGTGCCTGTGCCTCCAGTTAGTGTTCATGTTTCGCGTGCTGAGCGAAACTTGCTGTTTAGGGCTATGGCCGATACCAATCGGTTGGTTGCAATCAGTGCGTGTGATGCTGGGGAAGGCCCTTTTTCAGGACTCTTTGCTGTGCCAAAAGACTTGGACAGGCACCGGCTCATTTTGGATGCGCGACCACCCAATAGCTTTGAAACGGCCCTGTCTCAGTGGACTTCCAGCATGGCAACAGCAAGCTCCCTGAGTGGCATTGAGCTGGCTCCTGATGAAAGCCTCCTGCTCAGCGGGCGCGACGTCAAGGACTTCTTCTACCAGTTTGTGGTGAACCCGCAGCGAGCAAGACGGAATGTCATGGCTGGGTTGCTTTCTCCCGAAGAATTTGTCTTTCATCTTCCGGAGGCCCTTTACGGAAGCCGGATATGCAGCTCTTAATACGTTGGCCATGGGCGATTGCAATGCTTGCGAGTTCGCTTATAGTCAGCACACCTGAAGTTGGTGCTTAGATGTGGCGGAGCTTCCCTTGAAGAGCTGTTTACGCTCCGTGGTCCTGTTCCTCGCGGCCTCTTGTCAGTGATAGATGACTTGGTGCTGCTCGAAAAAGTTCTCTCCTCTTCCCTGACTGCTGATGTGAAGCCGAGCCCTTTGAGCTCTGCCAGACTCAGAAAGATCGAGGAAGCCTACCTGGCGTCCAAGCTCCCCACTAACCAGAAGAAGGCCTTTGATGACAGTCTTACAGGATCGTTCTGGGGCGTGCAGGTTGATGGCAGAAAGGGCCTGGTACGTGCCAATGAAACAAGAAGTTGGCCCTTGGTGCTCATCACGGTCCGAGTTTGCTGCCTTGGCCTGTGCACCAATGGTTTGCTTAGGTCGCTGGTTGGGTCGTACATCTCCATCCTGTCCTTGCGGCGGAGGACGATGTCAGCTATGAATTTGGTTTTTGAAGCCATCTCTGCCTCGACCGATGACAAACAAATACTGCGTCTGGGGAGGGCCGCTCACTGACGAGCTCTTTACTTTGGTGGCTCTTTCTTTGCTTTCGGTGGTCAACCTCAGGTCGACCACACTCAGCGCTATACGGGCAGATGCTTCCGATTGGGGCATGGCAGCGGTTAGCGCTGACCTTCCCGTGCAGGTTGCTCGAGAAGCAATGTGCCTTAGTTTGAGCAAGAGCGTTTGGAGCAACTTGCTGCCACCGCTCAAAGCTTGGAAAAGAGTGAAAGAGCTGCTGTTGCCTGAGGATGAGCTTCCGGGGGCTGAAGTTTTTGATGTGCACCCCTTTTGGGAAGACCTAGCTTGCTGCGTTTCCTACAAGGAACAGTGGCGGAAACCACACCTCCGAGCCGTCCATGTGAATGTCGGGGAGTTGCGGGGCTACCTCATTGAGGAGAAGCGCCTTTGCAAACAGCATTGCAGTTTCAGAGTCCCGGTTGGCTTGGATTCTCAAGTTGCGCTGGGAGCTTTGGTCAAGGGCAGGTCGAGCTCTAGAGCTTTGAATGCTGAGCTTTGTCGGAGTTTGGGGCACTACCTTGGATCTGATGTCTATCCTGGGTTTGGGTACTTCCCCTCTGCCTTGAACAGGACCGACGGGCCAACTCGCTTCGATCGGCCTGCTCCAGTCAGCAGACCTCTTCCGTGGTGGTGGGAGCCTGTGGTGAATGAGAACTATGATGCCTTTGACCGTTGGCTTGCTGCTTGTGTTGATGCGATCAGAACTTCCCCTGAGCCTATCCTGGATGTTGACCTCAGGACTGGGAAAGCAGCTCGTTCCCAAAAGATCAGGTTAGGCAACTTCCTGCCTAATAGTTAATTCCTTATTTCCTACCTAATTAGGTAATTTTTAAGGTAAAAATGTAACCTAATTTTAAGGTAATTCGGCACGTGGGGTTGAAAGTTTGCGTGCAAACTTGCGAGGAGGGGCTGAAAGTTTGCATGCAAACTTGCGAGACGAGGTTGAAAGTTTGGATGCAAACTTGCGAGGGGAGGTTGAAAGTCTGCGCGCGAAATTGCAGGGGGGGTTGAAAGTTTGCGCGAAAACTTGCGAGGCGGTGTTGAAAGTTTGCAAGCAAATTTGCGCCCTTTGACACACACGCAAGCATTTGAATGCAAATGGTGGTGCAAGTTTACACTCAAACTTGCGAGGGGGGGTTGAAAGTTTGCCTGCAAACTTGCGAGGGGAGGGGAGGTTGAAAGTTTGCATGCAAACTTGCGAGGCGGGGTCGTTGAAAGTTAGGTAAAAAATTAGTTAAGGCAAGAAAAATTAACTAATTCAGGTAAGGAAAAAATAAACTAATAGTTAATTGTTTTGTCTAAGATAAGGAATTACCTTTCCGGCAGAAAATTGCCTAACCTGATCTATTGGGTTCTGATGCCTTTTTCTCCAAGCGTCATGGCTCTCATGAGGCCCCCTTTGTGGAAGCCAATCAGCTGGGGTCCCGCAATACCAGTGGGTGCCTTCCTGCGGAAGCAGTGCGCATTCTGGAAACCTTCTCCTGTGAGCAGGTGTTGTTTAAAAAGGGAACAGCTCGGCAGTTTTTCCACCCTGGTGCTCTGGACCTCTACGCCGGACGTGGCGGCGTTGCTCGCGCTTTGTTGCGAGGGGGCTGCCCTTGGGTGGTTACTTTTGAGTTTACACGGTCAGCGTGTGAGGACGTGCTGAACAAGTTGAATGCTAAGAAAATCCTCCGGCAGTTTCGTGATCCTGCCTCCAGGGATACCATGCGGGTTGACTATTGCCGTTTTGGCACACCCTGGAGGAAGCGCACAAGGGTTGCTTTGAACATCCCGAAGCTTCGTGGCCTTCGTCGTCTTTGCGCCTGCGAGAAACCGCATGTGCAGCTTCGTGGCCAGCATCCCTTTGAAGCGACCTTGGACTAGCGTCGCCGAGCCTTATCCACGAGGATTTTGCAGTTTACTTGCAGCTGGCGTTTGTGAGGCTGTTGGTTGGTCGAAGAGTGCTACAGTTGCAAGCTGTGCCAGATGTTCTCATGCGAGAATTGGTGAGGCCAAGAATCCTGGGCCTGCCGTTCCACGACGGGCTCGAAACTTTAGCTTGGAGCAAGCCCGGGTGCAGACCTTTGCCTCCTTGCAGCTCGGTGACAGGCGTTGGGATCTCTTTTTGGACTGGTGTTGCAACTTCATTTCTGGGGACGTGGTTGGTCTCTTTTTGAAGGTGCCACTGCTCCTGGCCCACTCCATTATAGAAGATACGGAGACCTTGACTTTTGCGCTGGTGGTTCTCTTCTTTACTACAGACACCTCATTCTCGCTGCCTTACGGAAGGTTCCTGTGCTCAAGCCTTATGTTGGTATAGCTTGGGACCTCGCAACCAGGTGGGAGAAGGCTGAACCAGTTCAACACCGTGTCCCTGTTCCTGAACCACTTGCAGAAGCACTCATTTCCCTTGCCTGGGCACATGGTTGGAAACGATGGTGTGGAGTAGTGCTTCTTTGCTTTTTTGGCATAGCGAGAGCAGGAGAGGTTTTTCGCTGCAAAAGGTCTGATCTTCTGTTTCCGGATGACATGATGCATGAAAGCTCTGCCGCTTTCCTGCTGCTTCGTTCTTCAAAGACCAGCTACCGGCAAGCAGCCCGAGTTCAGCATTTGAAGATCAGCAACAACTATGTGGTGAACCTGCTGCGTCGTATTTATCTCGATGCTGATTCTGATGAGGACCTATTTACTGGATCGGCACAGATTTTCAGACGGCGGTGGGACTACCTGCTCCAGATGCTCGATGTCAAGCATTGCCCTGGTGTCACTCCTGGCGGTTTGCGTGGTGGAGGTGCGGTCGCTTTCTACCGTAAAGGCGGTAGTGTGTCCGAGCTCCTTTGGGCCATGCGGCTCAAGCAGATTGCTACTTTGGAGTCCTACTTGCAGGAGGTTGCCGCCCTGAGCTTTTTGCAGGAGCTCTCCTCGCACAGCCTTGCTTCTATACGTGCTGCCGCTTCCCTTTTTCCGCATCTCGACCGCTGAGGGGTTTTTACAAAGCTTCGCCTTGTGTGGCTGTGGTGCTGTTCCGCGCCTTTTTTGGATGTGGAAGGGTGCTGCTGGCTTTGTCACTGCCTTTGAAGCCACGTTGGACGCCTTGGAGCCCCCTACGCCTTGCAGAAGGTCTTCGCTGGATGGCTTTTTGGCCTCTGCAGGTGCTGCTTGGCGGTGGCTATGCAGTCTTCAGCGGCGCTGGCACATTTCTTACATGGCGCTGTGGTCCATGCAAAAAGGAATCCCAGCCAGTTTGCACTTGCAGCCGGAAGTTGAGTACAACATATATATATATATTTATTTATTTATTTACATACCAGTAGTACCGCACAAGGCGGTGGCGGAAGTTTCAAAAATAGGAAACCTATAGGAGAGCTTGGTTGTTGTGAATCAGGGATGGCAGAGCGAAGCCACTGATGGACCGAAAGGTGCTTGAGGTCTCCTCTCTTTTTCTCTCTTTCTCTGACTATCTACTTACCTACCAGCTTATCTTCTATGTATCTATCTATCTGCTGATCTAGCTATCTATCTCTCTCTTTCTCTCTTTCATCTCATCACCTATCTACCTATCTACCTATCGACCTATCTACCTATCTATCTATCTATCTTTCTATCTATCTATCTATCTATCTATCCATCTATCTATCTCTCTATCTATCTATCTATCTATCTCTCTCTTTCATCTGTCTATCTGTCTATCTATCTATCTATCTATCTCTCTCTCTCTCTCTTTCACCGATCTATCTGTCTAGCTGTCTAGCTGTCTACCTGTCTATCTATCTATCTATCTATCTGTCTGTCTGTCTGTCTGTCTGTCTGTCTGCAATGTAGTGTAATTGAGTGTCATTGAGTGCAGTGTAGTGTAGTGGAGTGTAGTTGTGGAGTTGCAGGTGTAGTTGTATTTTAGTGGAGGGTAGTGCAGTGTAATGTAGTGAAGTGTAGTGGAAGATGGTGTAATGGAGTGCAGTGGTATTTATTTGTGTAACTGTCTATCTATCTATCAATCTATCTATCGATCTATCGATCCATTCGAATCCATCCATCTACCGTGTACTGATACGATCCTCATATTCCGAAAATGAAACTTCAACAGCTCCTACAGCGTTAACACAACAGACCAGAAACACATGACGGAACCCAGCACATCCCTCTGACGTGTCTCGCTCATGGTGTCGTTCCGCTTTTTTTTCCAAGCAGCAACGGACAAGAATCTTCGGCCAGTCTTGCAATGAAGCACAAATGCTCGAGTGCATCATCGTGCAGTCAGAAAAGACATACACGCTGGCATGTGTCGTGGCCGCTGCGGCCAGAAGCGCTGCGTGCCGTCAGCAGTGCCGCGGTGCGCATCTCTGCATGTGTCCCGCTCTTCCCGACGGTAACGCCGCGGGCAGAAAAGCCACACGCGAGGTCACTGCCATCTCCGCCACGCAGGCACATCCGGCATCTGCGAGGCATCAGCTGGGTTGGCGCGCCACCCAGCAGCATTCGCCCGGGCAGCTCGCCGCTGTCGCATTTCAGGATGAATCCAATCAGGGTCGAAATAGCAACACTCGTCGAAAAGCTTCAAGTATTCACGGCGAAGCAATTCATCCTCCATGCGCCTCACCTGCGGCCACTCACTGTGGTCGTGCAAGATTTTCAAGATGGTAACAGCATCAGCAACGGTGAGATGCCTTCGAAGAGCGAGCCACATGGCAGGACTTTCTGCCAGGTCTTGCACAAGGCTTATCGCTTCCTCTGGCGGCCGACGGGTTCTATCAAGGCATTTCTGCGCCGACTCAAGGGTGCGAGCATGCCTGAGACACACGTCGATGCTCCAAGATCCAGCGCGCCATTTCCTTGGGTCGATGGTTGCAGGCAAGTGTTTGTTCAACATGGCAAGTAGAAGATGCGGTCAGAAAAGACACACAGGTCCAACAGGTGCGACGGGGAGGCAACAGGACTCCTACGGAGATGAGAACGCTAACCGTGATTATTCATTTTTTTGCTGCTGCATCCTTGGCTGTGCATAGGCGAGACATATGTCTACAACTACTACATGCTTCATGAGACTAAGTCATCCACGGTCTGATGTGCCATCATGCGGTCAGAAAAGACACACACGCTGGCCTGCAACGAATGCTTCGGCATGCAATGAATTACGGATGCGGTACTCAACCCGTACTTACCCGTGAGTTTTGCCAGAAAAAGTACGCATCAGCATGCGAACTTGCTCCAGCATGGAATGGAGTTTAGGGTTAGAACAAATTAGGGCTAAACGGATCTTACGGTTAAGGGATTTCCGGGTCAAGGCATCGTAGGGTGAAAGGATTTAGTGTTAAAGGATTTGTGGTTAATCCACTTTGGGGTTACAGGATTTTAGGGTTAAAAATGCCGTAGGGTTAACGACTTTAGCGTGAAATCGTGATCGGATTATAAAGACTAGTTAAAACGATTTAGAGTTAAAAGTATCTTAGGGTCAAAAGACTTAGGGGTTAAAAGGTCTTAGGGTTC